CACAGATGTGATATGACTTGGTATATATAGTTGTCAGTTCTTTGGTCTACGTATGAACCGAACAGGGTTCAAACCCTACATGTAGTATTGTATTCGGCGTGTTCGGACCAATTTATATATATGTCTGAGTTGTGTCTTTAAATGACATCAAAACACATACAGAATACCCAAGAGGTTGGACTACATGGACAAACAGCGATCAAAACAGCAGATTTAAGTCATGCATGCACGGAGCCACAAGCAGCTTAATGACTTCAGTCAAGGTTCAGCTTGTGGATAGAAATGGTCTTAATCGGCGTGGCCAACCCCTGTCACTACATTGGATAATAGTCCAGGAATAGGATTAAAATAAATCGCCTGCTCAGTGATTAATCACAATGCTTCAGTAATGTCCTTTCTACCATAATTGCCCACTAGATTAAAGGGCCTGTCACATTCCACCAATATTAACAACTACTTTAAATTCTCAGGTGCGTTGTCTAATTGAGAAGCCAACCGAGCTATGAGGCACAAGGTACTGGGTTCGAATCCCTTTCCAGGGTCCTAAGGAAAGTAATCAAACTAAAATTTCCACTCTTCACCCAGGTGAAGTGAATTGGTAGGAAGACATTCCTTGAGTGCCTCATCCTACATGGTAGCTCGGCTAAAGCCTTGTAAAACATACAAATACAATTTGGCTAAAGGGTGACCCCCAAAAAGGTGACCTTACCCCCCCCCCCCTCGCTTATTCAGCGACTGGCGAGTCGTTGCGAAATTTTCGGCGCGATTTTCAAATTTAACCACCCCCCCCCCTCGAAAAAAATCCTGCGTACGCCCCTGCTTCTCTGTATGTATTTGTAGGCCTACCTGAATGTTCGCTTGCTGTATATCCTCATGATCCGTTGTCGGTATTTAATTCATCATCATCATCAACTGGAGTCATTCGTTTGAAAACCTCTCAGATATGGTTCGGTGAATGACATGGAAAATCCATCATGAGTTGATGGTCTGACATTTCAGAAACAGTTGTTTAACAGTTGCTGCAAATTTCACTCTAAATGGCGTCAGCTGGGAGTCAACTCTATTCCTAGTTAAAGTGACACGGATTCCGAATCAATTTGACTCGGATTGTGTGGCATCAGCTGAGAATTGACTCAATTCAGAGTCAAGATGACTCCTTTTCCGTGTCACTTTAACTAAACTAGGAATAGAGTTGACTCCCAGCTGACGCCATTCAGAGTGAAATTTGACTCCGTGGAAATAAGAGTGTAAGCTTTTATAAAATTACATTCGAATGTTCTACCATAGCTTCCTGTAGTTAATGTTCGATTAAAAAGAAATTATTTCATCCAAAAAAATTCTAACTCATGTTTCCAACCAAGAGATCAACTTTCTCCTGTTCAACTACCCCAAATAATTGACGAGGATATAACTTTATGTATAATGTATGTTTCCATGACAATTGGATCACCTTTAAAGTTTAAGAATATAAATGTGTGCGATGGCTTTTCTCAGTGGTGTACATTTTGAGAATTGTGAAAGGAGAGGGGGTACAGACAAGTCAGACTGATATGGGGACAGATATTCGGCGTAAATACGCGAATCAAAAGTATTTTGAAAGGTAGGTCAGAGAGTCGAGTCCACCAATATTCAAAAACGCTAACATGCACTTGTAGAGTGGTGATCCAAAATAAAGGGGGGGGGGGGAGCACGTCTCCTGCACCCCTAGACTCGATCCGTCACTCCACTGTCACCCGAACAGAGAAAAGGATACTCACTTTCGAAGAGCTCTGATACGTACCACCAAACAAACCTTTGATCAGCAGACATTCCACAATATTATGATTGGTTGTGACACCAGACCACTTTCTCTTTCTCAAGGTTACGAACTATCCTTTCTTTCGATGCACCTCGATCCTAACAAGTTGACCTGAGAATGGCGTAGAATTACGCCACCTATTCAAGGGTTGGCATAAGGTCAAGATGTTGAATCCACTTTCAGTAAGACAATAAGAGCGTGTGAGTTGAATAGCAACACTCGTTTTGATTTAAAGGTAGTTCTGAACTTCCTAAAAGTATGTGTTTAAGATTGTACGATACCTTGGCCGGCGACGTTTGCATGCTTTCGGAGTAAATCCTAACTTCAAACTTAGATACTAGACCTGTACTATCCCTAACCATTATCGAACTATTCGAATATATTTATAGACATGTGGAGGTATATATAGAACGCAGGGCACTCCGATTGACATTACAGAGGCGTAACCAGCTTTATTTTATTTGGGGGGGGGGGGAGGGGGGGGGGCTATCCTAATAAATTAAAACAGGTACACAGTATACATGTGTGTCTAACAGGGCGGTATTTTGTCTCATTCTTGCCGAGAGAATGTGTCGACAAAAGTTATTGAAATTCACTAATGGCAGGGGGGGTGGCACCCCTTAAAGTGCTACGGATCGGTCAGTGCGACCAACTGACCATTACATGTAAGCCTAATGTTTTTCTCGACTGTCCTCTCGTACAGCTTGACTGCTCACTATTATTTACTCAGCAGAACGGATCGGACAATAACCGTTTTGACCACAAGTTATTTTAATTATCTCCACATCAATAAGCATTCAAAGTTCTCTGGAACTGGCAACTTACAGATCGATATATACTCTGTCAGCCGAGGTTTGCATTGTGTAGGAACATGGAACAAGGCGATGTTCCGTAGGATATCATATACCGTACAAGTCCCATGTGCATATATGCACGTTTTTCATCGCATGGGACCCCGAGCGAATCAACTAGGCCTTATTCAGTACAGTGTCCAGACTCTGTCTATATACATACAACCAGGAATAAATATCACCAAATACCGGTCGCCTTATCTCGAAGACAGGAAACATTATGTTTGTTGTGAGCAGGTAGAGCTCTGAATTTGATCAATGTGAAATCACTGTTTGGTTGGTGAGTAGACTAAGAATTTATGCCTCTTGAGTTCTGGCCACAATTATACCACGTCGAAGAGTATATGAAGATTGCTATATTTTCTCTCCCATTAATTTTGCACAGGAGAAATTAATCGCGCTTATGGCTAATAACAGTTAACAGTTTACAGTTTAATTATAGCTGAAGATTCCGGTTAAGTGAGATTATGTATGGATCAAGCAATTTAATGCTTCTCATAATACAAAAAAAGGGCGGGTGGAGCATGCCGTTATATGGCTTCATAAGTGCATGAATTGTGTTTTAAAGCGTATCTGCCATAGTTTACAGGAGGGATTAGACTGCCCTGCAAGGTCACTGGACAGGTGGTTATCTCATCAACTCAGCTCTCATTTAACATAAGAACAAGAGGATCATGGGGGACCATTGGTCACCGATTAGGCATGGTTTGTTATATAGAGGGCGCAAGTAGCTACAAGTAGTGCAGTGGGCCTTTAATGAGTCAATTTAGTTCATGGGAAGAAGATGTGTGTGTGTTTTTCTTCACCTTGACTGTTACGACTCCAAAGAAAGCAAATTGCGTTCGAAGCATGTACGAAGAGTATTTTGATGTATCTCTGCCTCCTTCAATTGACTGAAGATTCTTGCAAACTATGTGCGTTTGTGTGTGAACCGCAGTTTACGTCCATTCGAGTGCTATTTACAATATAATACAGTTTATTTACAAATATTTAATATATTCCTGACCGATTAAGCGTAAAACCAACGTTATTGAATTCCTTGCTATTTGGCTTAGGCCTACATGAATAAGACTTGGGGTATGATAATGACGTCTATTTATTTCCCTCTCTCTCTCTCTCTCTCTCTCTCTCTCTCTCGATCTCTCCCTCTCTCACATTTGTTGGTTTGTATGCCCTTGGTACTGTTATGCAGATATTAATTGAATCGAATGTTGACAGAAGTTAAATGAATTACCATTGCATGATTATACGGCTAAATGATGTTAAGTTTTGTGACGGTCTTATACAGTTCCACATCTAAAAACTTTTAATATTTCCACTCGGGTAACATGTCAATTTGAGAGTCGTATAGGGGCCTAAAATAATCACCTCCCCCCCCCCCCCCCCCCTCAGGATTTGAACGAAGCTATGCCATTGGTCTGCGCTCCTATGGTTTTACCTTCTCTAGTTACTCAGCATCAGCTTGCAAATAAAAGGAAAGTTTTACCCGTTGACTGCTCAAAGTTACTGTATATAATTCATAAATTACTAAGAATGCACAATACTCTATTTTTACCACCACAACGCCATAAGAAAGTGATATATATATATACTAGCCGTGGATTCATATACATATGTTCTTATGCATAAGCCACTTAAATACAGTTCACCTGCAAGATAAGTGCTCTCCAATTTAAACCATGGAAACAAAATGCAGTTACACTCATTTGAATGTTTGCCAAGGACGACTGTTAGTCTTCATTTTTCAGATTTAATCATTCCTTTAAACGAACATGTATTTTTGTATTTTCGTACTTCATTGCACTCTCACGAGGGTCGCTTTTAGCAACTTATGAAAGGATGCAAACGCTTACACACGAAGGCTACGTCTTATTCTGTTCCCATTGCCACTATTGTGTGTTGTGTTTTTAGATGTTCATCATGGTGTGTGCATGTACAGCAAGACGTCCGTTACTTTAAAAGAATCTTGTGCAAGAATGTGATGTCATCAGCAACGTATAATAAAAAGAGCTATAGATTAGTTTCACGCTTTATCTTGATCTTTATGTCTTTATAGCCCTCTGATTATGTGCGTTTTTTTAACAGACGTGTATCAATTAAATCTATTTACGTCTGGGGAATGACCGCCATCCAAACCACGCGAGTCATTTTTGAACCGGGGTCCTTCAGTTTGTAGGCGAAGACACATTTACAAAAAAAACATGTTTGATGGGGTCCGAAATAACAACATGATATTCCACGAAACAATGCTGTAGTCGATGACTAAAGGATGAAGAAACAAAAAAGGGTAGACAACAAGATTAGATTTCAAGATGACATTTGATTTTGTTTCTTTCTTCATTTTGTCACAGAATACTTCTGATTTTCACGTGATGCAGAGGTTGACACTTGGCGCTCCATCATAAATCAGCTTCTGACATATTCGGTAAGTGTAAACTAAAGTTGAGAGACTGTAATTGAGACGTGGTTGAGTTGGAAAACGTGGACAATATATCTGTGAGCTTTCCTTAATATGCTAGTTTGGAGAGATAAAATATCTGACATATAAAGATTGTCACCTGAAAAGGATGGCTCTTCAATATCCACAGCTCTGTGTACGCTTATGACCAAGACTGAGCCACTCTCTTAACATTTCCATCATGTTCATGACTCCAAACCCTCAGGCTCACATTATGTTCTACACAATGAACCATACGGGCCCGCACAACAAGGCCCCATATAATAAACATTTACGATTAATCGCTACTTGTTTGCGATTTATATCAAATCAATCGCAACTACGTACATACGATATGTGAGACTGCAAAATTGCGATTGATTCGGATCACCCCCAACTATTTATAAGAGAGGGCCCTGTACTCAGACAACGTTATCTTTGAATGAAACTCAATGACTAGTATTCATATTTCAAAGCGATCCAGGGACTCGCTTATATTAGTGAACGAGTCACCTAAAAGGCCTGATTGATCAGTTTGCAACGGCATGCTTTTGTGTCAGAGAATCAATTTTTTGTCACATGTGTCCTTAGAACTTTCAAGGTAAACGAGTAAAATACAAATATTGTATTGAAAGAGATGATGATCTCATATCTCATTTTGTTAAGTTGATTTACTATCCCGTCTCTTCTACAATGCATCATTCAAGTACAATGTTCCATTATAACCGTTACCGTATGTGAATTGGGGGGGGGGGGGATTCCCCTCTTGCAAATTTCCCCTCCCTCAAACAACAACAAAGCAAGATATAAATTTTTTATTTAAGTTACAAAATTCATTTTGAATGCAATTCTTGAATTTCGGTATGTAGACTCTGTCAAAAAAATATCTTCCAAGTCACCATGCCACCTCTGTTCCAGAAAGTTTAGACATTGGTGGCTATGGTGAGGCGAAACTCAGGGAACTTTAAAGGGTGGTAATTCGCATGTTTCCTAATTAATGTGCTAAACTGAATTGCGTAATGGAATGATGCAAAATAGAATAAATGACTGATGCTGAATGATGTTGGTATTCTTTATTTTTGTGTGTGTGGGGGGGGGGGGGTATGTGATACTTGTCTACAAAGTTGGTAAGATCTATTCAGCAAAACGACCATTTTCAAGCCAAAATTTGTTTAGATATTTTATTCGGACTTTCGGAGAAGAAATCCAAGTCTATATAACTGAGACCGTCAACCTACAATCGGTTGGTAGCATACAATATATTATAATAGCCCCTATTCCATTAGCGTGGTGGTTTGATCATTTATTCATACACTACAGGCATTTCCATGGAAACTACTAAAACACTGTTAACAAGATAACGTCTGCATGCCGCGCTCCGTATTCACAGACACGAATCGATATTGTAGCCAGTGTGAACCATGAACAGTGTGTTTGTGGGGGTGTTCTCTTGGTTGTTCACTCCAAGGTAATCCCGCAATTAAATCCTTTTCTAGTGTTATTTTTCCGCCAAACGACTAGGAATCTGAAGGCTTAACCACTTCGTACTGACGCATTGTGTGTGTATTTGTGCTGTAATTATGGCGGTATCAAACGATCATGTTTTTATTTGGATTCTTGCTACAATGAGTTCAAATCCCAGCCCTATGCAAGGGAAGGGGTGGCTGGGGAGGGAGCGGGGGCGAGAGGGGGGGGGGTCTATGGCTACACTGGCTGCATAATATTGAATATAATATATATCAGTCGTCAATACGTAATTAAATAAGGTAGAATAATGTACTGAATGTGTTATGTGAGGAATTGTGTCGTTAATCGGTTTGTAGCCACAATCCTGGATTAGCATGTCGTGACAGATCATCTAATAATATAGGCCTATTCAATATTTGATGACCTCTTTGGCTAATGCCTTGTTTGCTTTTAGAATTTTTCTCTGTGTTTTTATCTCACTGTCGGAAATGTGAAGGTCTATTTATATATGATTATATCTTTTTCAAAACTTTCCTTTACTTTGTTATTATTCGAAAGTTATCTATCTACAGGAAAGGTTGCGGACAACTTTCGTACAACACCCCACTCTTATGCAACCACAAGTCCACCCTTCCACTCATTCATTCCTATATTTCATACATTCATTCAGTCATTTAAATATTCAAATATTCATTAGTACATTTATTCATTCATTTATTCATTCATTAATCACAAATACACTCTATGAACAAACAAAGTGAGAGACAAGTTACAGAGACAAATAAGAATGTACGAAAGAAAGAAATTGAAAGTTTCCGACGCCATTGATATTGTATTAATATTAATACAGATGATACCGATACTGAATTATATTAATGATGATAAATAGTAATAAACAATGATAATGATATTTCGTTCTTCTATAGTGCATCCAAGTAATTTTAAACATCATACAAATTATGAATAACATTTTTTTTAAATTGCGTGTGCCGATACTAGTTCATTGCATAAGAAGAATGTTCTTTTTTGTTCAAAGATCTATACATGTGCTATTTTGCACATGATATCATTACGCAATTAAACAGTGTGATCGGCTGGCCGGCTGGCACCCTGTTAAATTGCCACAACCATGCCCCTTACGACTTGAGTATTGCTTAATGACATGAAATTGTGGTGGTAGTGTATTAAAGTGTGCTGTTATGGCTGAGTTAGGACAAAGTGTACTTCAGACCACTAACTCAAATCTTAGCAACCATAAAGTGTCTTAATTGATTGACCAGAACGGTGAGTAATACGAGTTTTCCCTATTAATCGACAGACTAGTTTCCTTGACAAAGCAAACGGAACAAGAAGTTAAACCGCAAACATCAAATGTAAATTGTCAGATAAGATAGCGCCCCGGTTACCCTTGACGTACAAATCAACAAATACATCTGAATGATTTTAAAGGCACTTCTTGATAGCTACTCGACTTGTTCCGATCAAAATTGAGAGAAATAAATGCGTTTATTACGTGGATGATACTAACTGCGATGATAATAAACATGCTATACAATGGGGAAATGTTATACCGATAGTGATGATGATGATGATGATTGTTATGAAAAGGGCCTCCAAATAAATGACGTCACATTTTAACCGGTTAATGGAAAAAATATAGTTTCACTTCACATCCAATGATGGGATTTGTCGATTCCAAATCGTCTCTGGTAAACATATGTCCGATAATCTTTTTAGTCTAAAAGACAACTCCATTTTTGCTTATGGAGTGGGAGGGGGGTGGGGGGTAAGATTCGTTCGATAAACTTCATAAATATACAGCATTTTGGTCAAAATATCCAACTTAATTGATCACAGTAAGACCCTAGTTTCAGCGAAATCGTGCAAGGTTTTATATTTGACAAAATAATGTTTCTATTGTTTGAGAATTTTTCCTCGAAAAATCAACAGCCCCTAAGGATGCATCAAGCACTGAATATCAATATTTGTTATTATTTGTGAAATACTATAATTCAATACGTGGGCGAAGATGGAAGACGACGGGAAAACTTTAATTAAGATACAGCCATCATTGTCAGCTTGTTGAAGCCGATATCGACCACTGGCTAGGGCCCTGTTTAGAGAAACAGTTAGATTGATTGCACATACTGATCCATCATGAAGCGTTTAGTTACAATAAATGCAAGAGATGGATGCATTGCATACCTGCCCTTTAGCCTGTATACTATCCACTCACTCAACTTCTGACGACAAACTTGTGATGATTAACAGCAAAACTTCAACTGTAAACATGACTTATCATCACGATGAAGCTTCAGGCGATTTTTCTTTTAAATTGTAGTGCTAGGTTAAGAGTCAAGTTAGTTAGCTCATATTTGATCTTAGAAGGTTTCTAGCGAGATGTTCCACCAATGACATATTGTTGACCTACTAGCACGGCCTACACGATTTCATAGAATCTGCTTCGATGACTAATTAAAAGATGAAAACGAGGACAAATCTTTCGTCATTGCAGGAGCATTGCCATATGTCATGAATTTCCAACGATTTTATGCACTTCCATTCTTTATCAAAAACCTTTCCTTCAATATCATGGGATATATTTGTTAGTCTTCTCTTTGGAATCCTTCTCTACTTGGCCGTAAATCATATAATTTCTTGTTGTTGTTGTTGTTGTTATTCTTCTTTTTGTTTTTCTCCTTATTTTTGTTCTCTCTCTCCCTCTCTCGCTCTGTTTTTTAAATTTGGTTTTATTCCTCCTCCTCCTTCGCGCCAATCACGCTCCGGTCCCATGTTAATATATCTAATGTTATTAAAGATCATTGCTTTCGTTGATGTTGCTCTTTTTCTCGTGGATCGGGGCGATGAGTCAAAGATCGAAATCCTCCTTTCCTTTATTTTTGTTTCTTTCTTTTTAAAAATCTTGTCTCCATGGAATCGTCTTTGACATGCATATATTAATCATGATCATTACTGAGAATTCTTCTTTCTTCATATCTAGTCGATAGGACAAGGAATTATCGTTCCACATGAATTTATTCATGATATTCTCTTCTGTTTTAATATCTGGTACACATGGACTTATAATTCACATGTGTTTATTCATATTACCGGGAATTATATAATCTATCTCCTGATAATCATTTGCTCTAATTATATCTACTCCTGGTGATTTTTCAAACTAGAAGTAGGCTCTTGCATCATGCATAAAGCCATAAAGATTTGTGACTGAAGAGTTGCTCTAATGTAGCTGACAAATTACACAATTATTCAGTTTACTTGTTAAAGAGACGGTATAGAGTACAAGTAATCTACGTGTATCTCTTTCCTTCATTCCCATATGAAGAAACATCATATCTGCAACTTCATTGTAATAAGAATTTATTTTTGCTAACGTTCTTATATTCAATAAAGCAACTCACAACTTCAACGTTTTGAGTCTAATATACTTACATGTATACATCGACGTGTTTTTCAGTAGTGTTCATGGTTTTCAGCAAGAAAGCGAGATCGGGTCTATT